CCCCAAAACCCCAAAACCCCAAAACCCCAAAACCCCAAAACCCCAAAACCCCAAAACCCCGCTCTTGTAATCTAAATTGAATTAGGTTCGTGTTCCCATTAGGATATTTTAAAATGGGATCCACTTATGAATGGAATTTCCACTCTCGTGGTTGTTGTGTTTAAAGCAAGGTCTTGAGAGAAGTCAAATTGCTGTTCTTAAAAACTCACATCATGTCTCGTTTGAATTCTTCATACTTGTTATACAAGTTCAAGGATAGCTTCACTCCTACAGTCTTCAGAGTGATAGGATAGGCGATGCTCATATCAACTTTCAAATTTCTATCGAAAGAATCAATATCCGAGTGAATGTAGGGCTTATATAACATCCCGCTTTTCTTATGATTTTCTACAGACCTGAATCAGTCAAGAGCCTTCCCAAGCCACTTCATGTGCTGCTTCTTGGAGGGAGAGTTGGATTCTGACTTGAGTCTATTCAGATATTCTTGTTCGTATGGGTCGACATAATCCTCATTTTCAGAGTCCTGACCCTTTGATTCTTCGTTGGAAGAGTTCGGCTCGGAGATAGTAGACAAATTTGAAATTTTCTTGATCATCACTTTCCCTTCTTTATTTGTCTCAGAGGATAATGATTGCTTTGAGACCTCGATGAATGGGACTTCCTCCATGTAGTAATCATCAGATTTGTCGAGTGTTCTAGACAGTGTTTGTAGGTAATTTAATGCGTCTTTTTCATCAAAAAGGATATCTGTGTTGTTGTAGCTCTGTGCACTATCTTTGATAGCAGGGAAAAGATACTTATTCCTATATCTCTTCTGTTTGGAGGTCATCTTTTGCTCAGAATCAATTGAAACTTTAAACTTTTGCTCGAAATACTCATTAAGAGTTTTTAAAGAGTACTTTTTGACCTTATCACTTCTTTTCAGAGTCCTACGACTTGTTAAATTTTTACTCGGGAGAGACTTCTTAACCACACGGGATTTCGAAGAGATTTTTGTTGCTCTCATACGGGTTTTTGCTCCTTTTGGAGTATTCTTGGCATTCCTCTTAGTCTTCTTGACTGCCATAGCACTCTGTTTGAAGATTATAATATATTTTATTTTCAATCAGGAGTACTCATGACGGGGTTTTGGGGTTTTGGGGTTTTGGGGTTTTGGGGTTTTGGGG